CCCACCAGGGCGTCCTTCACTGCCTCGTACCCGCAGAGCACCACCACCGGCTTCAGCCCCAGCCACACGGTGAAGATGGGGCCGTAGGTGCTGCTGAGCTGGGGGATGGGGAGCTGTGAGCCAGGGTCCCACGCCAGTTCATTCACTTCTTTCAAACTGGGACTGGAGCCCACAGCACTGGTGAATGCCCAGCAGGAGGGGAGGCTGTGACCTCATCCCAGCCCTGTCCCTGTGGGTTTTATCCCAGTGCCACTTTGGGGGCTCAAAGCATCATCTCCAGGAGCACTCTGGCCAGCAGCAGCACTGCAGCCCTCGAGGGGCACTGTCACCGTGTGGGTGCCTCACAGGAGAAAGGCTTCAAGCACAGGGGTGGTTTGCTCCTAGCAGAAGGGATTTAGGCAATTCTGGTAGAGCAAGAGATGAGGGAGGAAGAAGAGAAAAGAAAGGTAGGAAGAGTCATCCGAGGGATTCCCCTTTTATTTTGGCATGGAACTTTCCTGCTGTCTGTCCTGCTGTCCTGCTGTCCTGCTCTCCTGCGAGTGGGTCCAGCACGGCCACATGTCCCTTGTCCCTTACCTTCTCGTAGTGCCTGTAGAGGGGCAGGACATCCTTCTGCCACAGGTTGCCCACTATGGGCCACGGGGCTGGGCCAGGAGGCAGCCGGCTCCTCTTCGGGTCGCTCCTCCGGACCAGGAACCACAGGACGGAGAGGAGGAGGAGGAGGAGCAGAGTGGCGAGCAGCCCGGCCGAGCCAGCGTCCATCCCCACGTGCTGCCGAGCAGGGAAAGAAACAAAGGAATTCCAGGGAGGAAAGCGAGCCGAGCGGAGCCCGGAGCTGTGTGAGTGCCCTGCCAGCACGGGGGGCTCGGGGCTGCTCGGGGCTGCTCGCTGCTGTGTCCCCCTGGGCCACGCCTGTCCCGCTGGGCTGTGACAGAGCTCTCACAGCCGTCCTGGGCACTGGGGGCTCTGTGACCCCGCGGGAGCCCTGGGGAGGTGGGGACTGTCCCCTGCCCACGCTGCTGAGTCACCTTTGCTCGGTGCTCCCTTGTTGTGGCACACGGCAGAAGATGTCACTGTCACTGTCCTGGCCAAGGCTTTCATGTCCCCTCCAGTCACCGCCCCACTGGTCACTGCCTTGCTCACCAGGGCAATGACTCAGGAGAGGGTAAACACGGGGGCAAATGGGACACTGTGCCTGCGAGGTGACAGTGTTCCACCAAACTCCTTTCTGATGGAAAATGAATCAGAAAACAGAAAAAACCACTTTTTCCTGATATCTTTTGGGGCTTCTCTTGGGCTTTGGAGGAGCATCAGCCCAAGGTGGTGTGGTTGTTGGAGGTGTGGGTTAATTCCTCCCTGTGCATTGCTCCTCCATGTACATCGTGCTCTGAGCACCTGCACATCTGGCTGCACATGAGCACATCTGGCACAGGCACCGTCACCCCACCCCTGGGCTGAACGAGCTGGGCACAGGCAGCTCCCAGGAGAGGATGGCATTCCCCTGGAGGAGAGGGAGGAGGTTCGGGTCCATGCTGGTCCCTGCCGAGGAAGGAGCCCCTCAGCAGAGGGAATTCCGTGCTGCTGGCAGAGGAGCCTGCCCTGCTCCTCTCCCCTGGAGCAGAGCCACTGCCAGGGCAGCCAGGCCCAGCGGGACACTGGCACTGAGGCAAGGGCTGCTATCCTAATGCCACTTTCCCAAACCCTCCGAGGAGCTCTGCTCCCCAGGGCCTCGTCCCTGTGGAGAGGAGAACGTGAACACCTCTGCACATATTCCTGTCCCCTCTGCAGCCCAGGCTCAGGCAGCCCTGGCAGCCATGAGGCCCAGACCCGTTAATGACTGAGCTGGGAGTATTTTTGGTTGCTCTCAATAATGCAGCAGCACTGGCTGAGCAGAGCCTGGCTGTGATTACAGGGCTGGTGTCATTTGTCATCAGTGTCGCCCTGCTGGCTGCGAGGGGGCTGCAGGGCAGCGAGATGCCAGCGCCCCTGTCACAGCCCTGGGGAGCACAATGTCCCAGCTCTGGTGACAGCCCTGGGCACTGAGCAGGGCTCTGGCCTTTGGTACTGCGTGTCCAGCCCTGCACCCTCGGGGGGCTCAGCACAGCAGCGCTGGGCCCTTCCTTCCTCCAGCCCAGCTAAGCCAGGCACACAGGCCAGGCTTTCCAAGGTGTGCTCCTCCCACGGGCAGCACGAGGCTTTCCCCAGGACCAGCACAATTCTCCTGGTTCATGAAACATCTCAAAGGTCTCTGGGAGCCCTGTGGGACTCCAGGGGTGGGGCCTGCTGTGGGTGTGAGGCAGCCAGGTGGTTCTGTGTCTGCTCTTCCCAAGCAGGAAGAAGTGATTCCAGAGGAAGATGAAGCAATCCTCACATTCCCTCAATAAATATCAGCAAACACCTGCTCCTGGTTTTAACTGTAATGGAGCAGCAGCAGCAGCAGTGATCTGCACAGGGGTGGCACAGCACAGCAGAGCACAATCCCAGCACTGGGAACAGGCGTGGGAAGGGTAATGGTTAATCAGGGACATCCAGGCTTCCTTTGGATCCTTCCGTGCTGATCAGAGTGTGCACGGGAGGCACAGGAACTGCTCTGGCTGCCGTGCCTGCGGGGCCAGGCTTCCTTTGGATCCTTCCGTGGCTGGGAACGCGAGAGCCAGCCGCTGTGCCCGCTGATCAGAGTGTGCACGGGAGGCACAGGAACTGCTCTGGCTGCCGTGCCTGCGGGATCCCTCCGCCCCGAGCCGTGCCCACCAGGGCAGGATGCCCGAGGTCAGTGACCGTGTGAGGCCTGCAGGATGCCAGGGATGTGCTGACACTCAGGAACGCCCGCGGGCACAGCCCCTCTGCCCCCGGGCAGAAATCCAGCCCGGGCAGGGAGCGATCCCCAGTGCCGTGCCAGGATGACAAATGATGAAGATAAAATTAAACTTTCCAACAGCGTTTTTAGCGTTTTCATTTCCGATCCCCCCCTGCTGCCCATCCAAGGGGTGACGGGTGTGAGGAGAGAAGGGTGGCTCTGGGAGGTTTGCAGCTGCACCAGGCACTGCCCAGAGAGCCTGCAGTAATTAATTGCTTAATTAGCCAGCATTCATTCATTTATCCCTCCTGTAATTCCCTGGAGAGCGAGGCTGGCTGCAGCCGGGGCTGGTGGTGGGTCTGGATTATGGGTGCAATTCCAGGAAAGGAGCCTGCAGCTCTCCCTGAGCCCTCCCTCCTCACAGGGCCCGGGCTCTGCTCCCACTTCTCCATAAACTTGGCTCTGTTCCTGAACCGTGTTTGGAGAGGGCACACCTTGCCCTGTGCTCCTGGGAAATGAGCCTCGCCACGCTCCCTTTTCCCTGGTGTGAGATGGATCCCAGGGAGCTGTTGGGAAAGTCTCCCAAAGGATGTGGAATGCAGGGGATTCCTTGGAACAGCTGAACTGCCCTGGAACCTTCCCGTCCTGCTGTTCGCCTTCCTGCAATAATTACAGGGAGGAGAAAAAATCCCCTCCTGCTCCTCTGCTTCCTGGCAAACACCCCAGGTCCTTGCCGGGGCACGGGGCTCCTTTGCTCCCCGTTTGTGTATTTATAACATCCATACAGCTCATTAAAATGCGTTCATTCGATGAGAAGGAAGATCGGCACTGCACACAGCGGGTGCTGCTCACACCCCCGAGCACTCCGGGGCCGGGCTGGGCACCTGGCACCGGCAGCTCTCCTGGTCCTGCCAGCGCCTTCCTCCGCATTTCCGTGCCTGGTGCCAGCTCGGGGGGCTGGCCTGGAGCCCCGGAGGGCACGGGGGGGCTCGGTGTGCCCCGGGCGTCCCCACCAGCCACCGCAGGGCTTCGCGCTGGGCACGGGGGGCTCTGACCGCCTCTGCCCCTTCTGCTCCGGGACAGGCAGCGAGCCCTGCAGGACAGGCAGGGAGCGGGCACAGCCCCAGCGCGGCCCCTGCCCGGTGCCACATGTCCCCGTGCCACGGCCCCGCCGGGCCAGGCGGCAGATGGCAGCGGGGCAGGGCTGCTCCTGCCGGGGCACAGCCCCGTGCCAGGCAGGAGGAGCTGCGGGCAGGAGGAGCTGCGGGCAGGAGGAGCTGCGGGCTCCGGCAGCGCAGCGCTGTCAGAGGCTGTGCGCTGAAACGAGCTGCCCTGACGTTCATTGCCTTTGACCCACCGGGGCCGGCGCTATCGGATCTTGGGGGTTCAGCGGCCCCGCGATGCTGGGGCGGACGGGAGGGGACAGCCCCGTCCCCGTGTGAAGGAGCGAGGGCTCGAGCCGGAGGTGTCGGGAGCTCGGACTGACCCTGCCGGCAGCGCGGCGCTGCTGGAGGCGGAGAGGATCCGCCCTGGCCGGGGATTCGGAGCTGCCCCTGGGCCAGGGGAGCTGGGCAGCCTCCCTGTGTCCCCCGGGGATGTGCTCGGTGCTGTCCGTGGGTGTCACCCTTCCTGTGCCCTTGGAGGGAGCGTCTCGCTGGCCCCACGGTGCGAACCATGGTTCTGAGCCGTGCTGCTCCCCGTCCTTCACAGCAGCCGGAGTTCCCTTCCCACCCCCGGACAGCACATAAAATATGTGCCTTTTCCATCCCGCGCTAATGGTGCCATTTGGAATGGAAAATCGGGGAGAGGCAGTGCTGAGCCTGCAGCAGCTGATGCCAGGGGAGATGCCGGGAGCTGCCTGGCTCTGAACACCCCCAGACCCTGAGAGAGGCGCGTGGTGCAGCAGCAGCACCCCGGGGGGAAAGGGGCCCTGGGCACGGTGCCGGGGAAAGACCCCACAGCGGGCCCCAGCAGAGGCCGCGGGTGCCCGCGGCAGGAGCCGGGACCCCCAGCCCAAACCGCTGCAGGGGGGTCCCGCAGGCTCCTGTGCCCTGCCCGGCCCACCCGCTCTGCCCGGGCTGCGCGATCCTGCCCGGTCCGGAGCGTCCCCAGCGCTGGGACAGCACAGACGGGGGCCGGGTGGGAGCCGGGGCTGTGGGAGCTGCGGGAGCTGCCCGAGGATCCAGGACAGCCCGGGGGTGCGGGGCCGTGCCGGGGGATGCCGAGTGATGTCGGGAGGATGCCAGGGACGCTGCAGAGCGCTGGGGCCGTGTCACGGGGCCCAGGGGATGCCAGGTGACGCTGGGCGTGCCAGGGGGATGCCGGGGGGACGCCAGGTGAGGCCGAGGGAGGCTCGAGGGATGCTGAGGGATGCCGGGGTGATGCCGGGGCCACGCCCAGCGATGCCGGGGGAAGTCGGGGGATGCCGGGGAGGATGCCCGGCTCCAGGCTAGCTCCAAGACCCCCCCTCGGCCCGGAGAGCCCGCCGGGGCGGGCGGCCCCGGACTACATTTCCCATGGCCGCCGCGGCCGGGGGCGGTGCGGGGCGGCGCGGGGGGCGCGGAGCGCAGGCGGAGGCGCGGAGAGGCGCAGGGGCGGCGGATGGGGATGGGGACAGACCCTGCCCTGCCCACAGTCCCATCCCGTGTCCTGCCTGCTCCTGCCTGCCTCGCCGCACCCGCACCTGCCTCTTCCCAGCTCCCTGCCTGCCCCACTGCCCTGATTCTGCCCCTACCCGCGTCCTGCCTGCCCCACTGCCCTGATTCTGCCCCCTCCCTGCCTGCCCCACTGTTCCTACTCCGTGCCTGCGCTCTGGCAGCCTCACTGCCCTCATCCCACTCCCTGCCCATCCCCTGCCTGCCCCTCCTCCCTCCCTGCCCCAGTGCCCTGATGCTGCCCCTGTGCCACTGCCACACTGCCTGCCCCACCGCTCCTGCTCCGTGCCTGAGCCCTGCTTGCCCCACTGGCCCTAATCCGGCTCCCTGCGTGCTCCCTGCCCTCCCCACAGCCCTCCTGCTCCCTCTGTGCCCCTTGCCCTGCTCCCTGTCTGAGCCCTGGCACCGTCTGTCCTCACGGTGCCTCCTCCCTGCCCCTGGCCCTGCTCCCTGCCCCTCTCTCTGCCCCGCTCCCTGTTCTCTGCCTGTGCCACTGCCCCCGTACCCACCCTTTGCATCCTGCTTGCCCATTCCCTGCCCCCCTGCCAGTTAACCCTTGCCTGTCTGCCTGCCCCTGCCCTGCCCCACTCCCTGCCCCCTTTACCCACTGCTCCCTGCCTGTCCCCCTGTCCTGCCGTCCCCTCTGTCCCGATGCTGTGGGGTGCCCCAGTGCCCTGTGCCCCTGCACCCCGGGGCGGCCCTGCTGGCCGGGGGCACCCTGGGGCTCTGGAGCCGGAGCCGTGCCCACGGCAGTGCCCACGGCAGTGCCCACGGCAGTGCTGTGTGTGCCGGAGCACGGCCAGGCCTGGCTTGGATGGTGGCTGTTGTGTAATTCCTGGAGATTTTGCAGCGGAGTGGGGGGGGCGGGAAGAGGATTTATTTATTTTCCCTTCCCATCGCGGCACCGGGGCACCGGCACAGCTGGAGCGGCGGCTCCGCATCCCCTCCGCACCCTCGGGGCTGCGGCTGCACCGCCCGTGTGACCCCCGGGCCCCCGCGGCACCGGGAGCGCTGCCCCACGGCCCGGAGCGGGCACGGGCCCGGATGGCAGCGGCTGCGGGCCGGGCTGCGGGAGGGTCGGGCAGGTGCGGGAGTGCCGGGAGTGCCGGGCAGGTGCGGGAGTGCCGGGAGGGCCGGGGAGGTGCGGGAGTGCCGGGAGGGTCGGGCAGGTGCGGGAGGGCCGGCAGGTAGAAGAATGCCGGGCAGGTACCTGAGTGCCGGGCAGGTGCGGGAATGCCGGCAGGTACAGGAATGCCGGCAGGTACAGGAATGCCGGCAGGTACCGGAGTGCCGGGCAGGTGCGGGAATGCCGGGCAGGGACGCGACTCGGGAGCTGCGGGGTCTGGTGCGGGAATCCGGCACGGGAGCGGTGTGGGAGCACCGTGCGGGAGAACAGAGTGGGAATGTGGACTGAGCATGGGGGTGTGGTGCCAGTGTGCTGTGGGAGCGTGGCACGGGGAAGGTGGCACGGGGAAGGTGGCACAGGGAATGTGGCACCAGGATCGCGCCGCAGGAGGCTCTGGAGGTACCCAGGGCCGGGGGGATTTGGCCCCTCTGCCCTGGGCCGGGCACCTGGAGCATCCTCAGGGCTTGGCTGGAGCTTACAGAGCATCCCTGTGCTCATCCCGGCTCTGCTGGGCCCCACGGCAGAGTCCTGAGCAGTCCAGACAGCCGGGAACCAGGAATGACAGATAGGATTAAGGAATGATAGATGAAAATAGGGAATAACACATGAAAACAGGGAATTATTGGGTCAGGGCAGGACCAAGGTCAGGTGAGGAAGGACTGTGTCCTTTCCAAACCCACTCTGGAGCTCCAACCATGTCCCAGCTCCCCTCGGGTGCTGGGAGCCAGCGCGGAGCCCCTGTTCCCCCTGGGGAGAGCAGCAGCTCCACAGGAGCTGCTCCAGACTGAACCTCTGCTGGGCCCTGAGCAGGGCGTTTGTTTTATCTTGTTTTGTTTTGCATTTCTTTGGGTTTGGGTGGTTTTTTTTGTCATTTCACTTGACAGACAGAACTGGGGATGCTCAGCCCAGCCCAGCCCCACACTTGGTACCCAGCCCTGGGGAGAATTCCTGTGCCAGTCCGTGAGGGGCAGGAGTATTTATCTCCGTGGGAAGATGAATACTTCTGGGGGGAAGTGGAAGAGGGAAGGGAAGCCAAGGAGTGGCAGTAGAACATTCTGAGGAGGTTTCCTGCGAAGGGCTTTTATCTCTGTTTGTGTTTGTCCATCCCCTGGCTGCAGGCAGTGTGACAGTGGCACCAGGATGTCACCTCAGTCGCTCGGACAGCCCTGGGAATTTCCCAGGATCGGCTCCGCGGGGATTTTTTCCCATGGGGATTAAACTGGGCACCGGCAGAGCGGCACACGGGCCCCCGGCGGCACAGGGGGTGCAGCTTGCCGGGAATGCTGGCGGAAGCTCCCGGGGTTGGATTTTTCCTCCTCGACCTTTCCGAGCATCCCACGCTGTGTCCCCCACCCGGGGGCAGCGGTGGCATTTGGGGCTGGATGTCACCTCGGTGGCTCGCAGGGTGATGCTTTTCCAAGCCCGGGACGGCCGCACCTCCAGACAAAGCCTTTAAACACCGAGGGTTTATTCCTGGTGCTGCAGGAGTACCCGGCAAGAAAGAAGGACATTTTCTGCTTGCACGGAACGAGGGCAGAGGGAGATAAAAGCACCGCCTGGGATTCTCCCAGCGGGGTTTGCGGGAGGGAACAGCACCCTGTAAATAGCTGGGCTCCCCATCTGCACTCCGGGGTTCAGCAGAACCCCCCGGGGTTCCGGCTCTGCAGCCGGCGGATCCCGGCAGCCCCGGGGATATTTTTATCCTCCTCGCCAAGAGACAGCGCTGACAACCTGGAATATTCACGGAGCGAGCGGGCTGAGGGTTGTGTCCCTGCTCCAGCTGCCTCGGGCTCTGCGCTCCGCGGGGGCTTCTCCACGGCTGCTAAATCGGGAGGGGAGCGCCGGGAGCAGAGGGCGCCGAGCATCCCGTGCCAAAGCGGTGCCAGCCCCGAGCTCGCCGCGGGAGGCAGCGGGAGATGAGAACCGGAGGATTTCCGCCTCTCAAAATCTGTCCCCCATTTTGCTCCCTCGGCTTGCCCGGCTCGGGCAGGATGGAGGGAAGCGGCTCCGGCCCTCCCTGCCTGCTCCTGGTGCTGTCCAGCCCGGCACAGCCCGGGCCTGGCCCCGCGGGGATGTGGCACAGGAATGTGGGACCGGGAATGTGGCACCGGGAATGTGGCATGGGAATGTGGCACAGGAATGTGGCACCGGGAATGTGCTACCGGGAGTGTGGCATGGGAATGTGGCATAGGAATGTGGCACCGGGAATGTGCTACCGGGAGTGTGGCATGGGAATGTGGCACAGGAATGTGGCACCGGGAATGTGACAGTGGGAATGTGGCACCGGGAATGTGGCACAGGAATGGGGCACCGGGAATGTGGCACCGGGAATGTGGCACCGGGAATGTGGCACCGGGCAGCGCTGTCGCACCGTGTCCCCACGTCGCGCTGGATGTTGCAGTCGGAGCCGCCTCCCGGGGGAGCTGAGCAGCGATTTGAGGATATCAATATTTGATGTTTTTCTTCTTGCCTGCTGAAAAGGGACCGGGAAAAATCCGCTGGTCCTCTGGGGCTCGGCGGGTGCCAGCTTTGAGCCAGGTCCGTGTCCCCAGCGGGGCGGGGGCGGCAGAAGGGGGGGACAGCCCGGCCTTGGCTCGGAATTCCTGTTCCTCCCCCTGGCAAACGCAGAGGATGCCCAGCGCTCTCCCCAGGGGCTGTGGATGAGCCTCGCTCCCCAAGCTCCCCGCTGGGCTTTGGGACCCCAGCTCCCGGGGTTTTCTCGCAGGCACCAGGGGGAGACGGGCGGGAGCGGGATGGAGCCGGGCTGTGCGGGATGGGGGACAGACCCAGCCGGGAATCCGTGCCTCCCTCCCCACCGTGGAGCTGGTTTTGGGCTAGAGCAAGGAGAAATCAGGGAGACAGCGTTGGTAATTAAATGGTGATTAAATATTTCTGGGCAGGCTGCAGCGAGGGGGGCTGGGGCTGGGCCAGAGGGTGTTTGGGCAGGAGATGGAGGTGGGGGCTTTGTGGGCACCATGGACCTGCTCTGCCTCTGGGGATGTTTCATCCCTGGCCTGCTGTCCCCACGCCGGGCGTGCTGCTTTCCCAGTCACAGGTTAACTGCCATGAAATGCTTGCCGTGCTGGGAGTGTTGCAGGCTCAGGTCAGGTCCAAGGCTGGCAGCTCCCTGTCGTGGCTGGCTGAGGCACAGGGGGACAGTGGCAGGGGACAGTGACGGGTGCTCCGGGCACGCAGAGGTGGCTGGCACCAGGAGATGCTCCAGGGAAACACCGGCTCTGCTGCACCTCCCCAGGCCAAGGCTTTGGAAACTCACGGATTTATTTGGGAATCAACATGGTTTGCTCGACTGGGGCTGATGTCTGCTGGCAGCAGTGAACTTGTGCAGCAGCAAAGCCCGAGCACGCCGTGGCTGTGTCCCCACTCGCTGGCTTTGGCTCCCCGTGGTCACTGTCCCTTTCCCAGGGACAGGTCCGGCTGCAGGCCCCGGGGCTGTGCTGGGAAAAACGGCTCGGGTGGGAAGCTGGAGGGGAGGAGCAGGATTTTGTTTGCCAAAAGAAGAGAGAAAAAGCGCTGGGAGCTGGGGATGGCTGTGTCCCCAGGGGGTGCTCCCCTGGGATGTGGGTAACTCATACAGAATGAAGTTTTGGGGAATTAGGGACCAGACAGGGAAATTGGGGGTCCCTGCCCCCTCTCTTGGGAGGCACAGGGACCATCACCCGTCCTTAGGTGGGATTGATTGGAGCCCCTTTGCTTATCCCAGCCCACAGAATGCTGCAGCCTGTTGTTTTTAGGGCCCAGCTCCCCCCGGCAGGCCCCAGCCACTGGAGCACCCCAGGATTGCAGGGCTGCACTGGGGGATGCTCTGCCGTGAAACCACGGGGTTCCTCACACTGAGCATCTGCTTTAAAACAGAGCAAGGCCAGGTTTTTGTTATTTTCTCTGAAATGTTGTTTTCTGCTTCCCAATCACACCTCAGAGCATGGCACGGGTTGGGATGCTGGGAGAGAGCCCTGCCCGTGGGACCGGGGTGTGCAAATCCCACCCACCTCCTGCTGGAGAGGAGGAAACCAGGAAAAAATCCCTTCCTCTGCTCAAGTGAGGAAGTGATTCCTGCGAGTGAGCAGCAGGGATGTGCCAGCGGTGCCTCACTCCTGCCACCTCCCACGCCTTCAGGAGGCTAAAAATATCCTGAGCCAGGGACGGACGTTGTGGCTGTGCCTGTGGATATTTGCTGCTTTTTTCCCTGTTTGTGCTAATTCTGTGCCACTTCCAATCCTGTCTAAATGAGAGTGAAGGTGATTCCCAGAGGAGGAGGAGAAGCTGCTCAGCTCTTTCTCCCAGCGCTCCTTAGAGAAAATCTAATCAGTTTATTTCAATAATTATTTTTTAAAATTAACATAAACAGGATTTGTTTAATTTAATTTTTAAAAATCTGTTTTTAAACACCTTAAATCAGGTGCTGGGACATCTTTCATGCCCAAAGCAGATTTGATGCTGTTGGTTTGGGCAGGCCCTGGCACAGAGTACCCAGAGCAGCTGGGGCTGCCCTGGATCCCTGGCAGTGCCCAAGGCCAGGCTGGTCAGGCCTGGGAGCACCTGGGACAGTGGGAGGTGTCCCTGCCATGGTAGGGGTGGCACTGGGTGGGCTTTGAGGTCCCTTCTAACCCAAACCCTTGTGGGATTCTGTGATTTGCACTTTCTCCAGGGCTTTGAGGTGGATTTGTGCATGAGCCGCGCTCGCTGTCTGACCCTTCTCTGTGTCTGCTCCTTGTTTCCACTGCTCCAACACTTCCCTGCCTGTCTCCAATGTGAGAATCGAGCTCGGATGGCAGGAAGGGACAGGCTGAGGGGGGGCGTTTGCAGGATGGCAGCACCAGGCTCTCGCTGTCTCCTGCTGAACCTTTAGGGACCGATTGGCTGAATGACAGCTCTGCCCAGCTCAGACTGACAGAGCTCGTTTTTCCAAGTGAAAGGATGCACTGAAGTTGTTAAAATCCCTGGGAAAAAGAGCAAATGATCCGGATGTGATGGTTTAAATGAGCCCGAGCAGCTGTGGTGGCCCTGGGCTCTGGCTGCTGCGGGTCCAGGGGCCGAGGACGGCGGGTTTGTTCTCCTGCATCCCGGCGCTCCTCCCTGGGGAAGGCAGCGGCTGCCACGGGCTCTGGAGCGGTAAATCCACCTCCAGTGAGCAGCAGAAGGGCTCTGGCTGCCGCCTCCCGTCCCGTGGCTGCCCGTGTGAGGGAGGAGGCTGAGCCTGCGGGCTGCGGAGCACTGCCCCATCCTCCCGGGAATCTCAATCCCTGCTCTCCTGGCAATAACGGGAAAGCAAGGGAGAGACGGGAGGCAGGCCGTGGTTGGTGTGGTGCCTGGCAGTGAGCCGTGGAGATGCTCCATCAGTTCCTTCCTGAGGAGATCACGCATGGCTGGGGGGAGCAGAGATCCCTAAATCCCCCCGCATCCCGAAGGAAAAGCACATCCCTGCTCCAGGGTGTGCAGGGGTGCTGCTGCCTGTCCCACACCCTTCACCGATGGCTCCTCTCCTCTCCTGTCCTGCAGGGCCGAGAAGACCGAGGTGTTGAGCGAGGATCTGCTGCAGGTGAGGCTCCCCGGGGCCATCCCGGGGTGTCCTTGGGTGCCTGGGGGGGCTGCACCCATCAGCAGCTCCCTGGTGGTGCCACAGCCTGCCAGCGACCCCAGGTGATGGGATCCCCGGGTTATGGGATCCCTGGTGATGGGTGATGGGATCCCCAGGTTATGGGATCCCTGAGTAATGGGATCCCCAGTGATGGGATCCCCGGGTTATGGGATCCCTGGTGATGGGTGATGGGATCCCCAGGTTATGGGATCCCTGAGTAGTGGGATCCTGGGGTGATGGGATCCCTGAGTAATGGGATCCTGAGGTGATGGGATCCCCGGTGATGGGATCCCCGGTGATGGGCTCCGTCGCTCCTGCAGGTGGAGAAGCGTCTGGAGCTGGTGAAGCAGGTGTCCCACAGCACCCACAAGAAGCTGACAGCCTGTCTGCAGGGCCAGCAGGGCCTGGACGCCGACAAGCGCTCGGTGAGGGCAGCGGGACCCGGGGACCTGGGGATCAGGGGATCAGGGGGATCCAGGGATCTAGGGATCTGGGGATCAGGGGATCTGGGCGGGGATCAGGGGGATCCAGGGATCTGGGGATCTGGGGATCAGCGGATCAGGGGGATCCAGGGATCAGGGGGATCCAGGGATCTAGGGATCTGGGGATCAGGGGATCTGGGGATCCGCGGGTCAGGGGATCAGGGGATCTGGGGATCTGGGGGATGCGGGGATCAGGGGGATCCGGGTGTCTGGGGGATCCAGGGATCTGGGGATCAGGGGATCAGGGGATCCAGGGATCTGGGGATCCGGGGATCCGGGATTCCGGTGGAACACGGCCCCTCTCTCTCTGCAGAAGAAGCTGCCGCTGACGACGCTGGCGCAGTGTCTGATGGAGGGCTCGGCCGTGCTGGGGGACGACTCCCTGCTGGGGTGAGGGGGCTGGGGCTGCCGGGTCTGCACGGCCGGGGCTGGGGTGGGCTGGGGATGTGCTTGGGATGCTGCTGTTCCTTGTCTCCGATGCCAGACAATGGGGATTCACTGCTGTTTGGGAGGGCTGGGGGGGATCTCGGTAATTAATTCTTCTCCTCCGTGTATGACCTGGGGTCCTGTGATCATGCAATGTAATCTGCGTATATCGACATTTATATTTATTTTTATCTCGAATTTATGCATGTTATATATTTATATTTGAGTTACTATATTTATGTACTTACACGTGGCTTATCCATATCTAGGGATCAGGGGATCAGGAGATCTGGGGATCCGGGATTCCGGTGGAACGCAGCCCCTCTCTCTCTGCAGAAGAAGCTGCCACTGACGACGCTGGCGCAGTGTCTGATGGAGGGCTCGGCCGTGCTGGGGGACGACTCCCTGCTGGGGTGAGGGGGCTGGGGCTGCCGGGTCTGCACGGCCGGGGCTGGGGTGGGCTGGGGATGTGCTTGGGATGCTGCTGTTCCTTGTCTCCGATGCCAGACAATGGGGATTCGCTGCTGTTTGGGAGGGCTGGGGGGATCTCGGTAATTAATTCTTCTCCTCCTTGAATGACCTGGGGTCCTGTGATCATGCAATGTAATCTGCGTATATCGACATTTATATTTATTTTTATCTCGAATTTATGCATGTTATATATTTATATTTGAGTTACTATATTTATGTACTTACACGTGGCTTATCCATATGAATGTATTTATATTTGTACATTTTATATATATTTCTGTATTATAATTTATATAGTTACATATGTTTTACGAATATTTATATATTCATATGTGATTTATTATTTATATATGTATAGTTATTTTACTTTTACAGATATTTAAATGCAATACAATTTAAATACAATTTCAGACTGCTCAAATAATATATAATATGTAATATATAATATATAATATATAATATATAATATATAATATATAATATATAATATATAATATATAATATATAATATATAATACATAATACATAATATATAATATATGATATATGATATATGATATATGATATATGATATATGATATATAATATATAATAGAATATAGAATATAGAATATAATATAGAATATACTATATAGAATATATAATATATATAGTATATAGTGTATTGTATATAATATATTGTATATTATATATTGTGTATTGTATATTATGTATTCTATATTATATACAATATATAAAATATATTATATATCATATATAATCATACACAACACAATACTAATATACAATATAATTATATAGCTAAATATGTCACAATATAAAAATATAATACTTGTATTATCATTATTATGTCATTATAAGTGCAATACTGAGGGAATGAGGTTTCCTGGCACCCCGGGTGCCCACGGTGCCCCGGCTGCCTCCCCCCTGTGCCCAGGAGGGGCAGCCCGTGCCGCTCCTGGCGCCCGGGGTGGGTGCCCTGTCCCCGGGGCAGCCCGGTGCCGCTGTGCCAGCCGTGCCTGCCCCTGCAGGAAGATGCTGCGGCTGTGCGGGGAGGCCGAGGACAAGCTGGCGCAGGAGCTCATCCACTTCGAGCTGCAGCTGGAGCGGGACGTCATCGAGCCGCTCTTCGTGCTGGCTGAGGTGGGCCGTGTCCCCGGGGTGCCCTGCTGTCCCCAGAGCCCCTCCTGCCCTCAGCCAGCTCCCAGGGTGTCCCAGGGCTGGAGCTGGCTCATTCCGGGTGGGACACGCGGCAGGGCCGTCTCCCTGAGGATGTGGCATGAGGAGCTGCGTCCTTGCCCGCCCAGTCCAAAGCCCCGGGCTGTGACCGGCCCTGGACACCTCTCCAGGGCTGTCACCTCCTGTTCCTGTGCCGCTGCAGGTGGAAATCCCAAATATCCAAAAGCAGAGGAAGCACTTGGCGAAGCTCGTGCTGGACATGGACTCCTCCAGGACGAGGTAGGAAGTGCTTTGTAAGAAATAAACATCCCCACGCCGTGGGTGGCTCCCAGCAGAGCAGCTCCTGGGCCCCTGGCACCGCAGCTGCTGTGGCACAAGGAGCCCTGGCTGTGCCAGGTGGGCTGAGTGAGCTCTGCAATGAGCCACCATTGTCTGCAGAACCCATGGATTCCTTTTCCTGCCTGCCCTCTGCGGCAAAAGTGCAATTTTTTTCTGGCAGAAAGGGTTATTTTGTACTGTTTTCCCTGTCTCGGGGAGCTCTGATTTAGAGAGCCGGGTGCTCCTGCCCCTGCAGTGGCACCGAGGGGAGCAGGGATGACTCGGGATTGTCCCATGGAGTCATCCAAGCCCCCACTCCAGCATGTCCTGGGAGAGGTCTGAGAGGTGTCCACAGTCCCCAGCATCATGCCCAGGCTCTCCCATCCCTTTTCCCTCTGTTCCCACCTGGATACGGCTCCTTATCCTGCTGGAAATAATTCCTTCCCTGCTGTGGGGGTGGGAGTGGGGCTAAATCCCAGCGGACTGGGATCATCTCCGTGCTGCTGAGCCCCGGGGGCCGCGGTGGCCCGGCAGGCCCTGGGCTGTGCTCAGGGCTCCGACTGTCCCTGTCCCTCCCGCAGGTGGCAGCAGTCGGTGAAGTCCTCGGGCCTGGCCAGCAACCTGCAGCCCTCGGGGGCCAAAGCCGACGCTCTCAGGGAGGAGATGGAGGAGGCGGCCAACAGGGTGGAGATCTGCAGGGTACGGGCTCCCCCGGCCGAGGGGTCTGTGGGCTCCCCGACTCTGGGCAAGCTGCAGCCCCTCCTCTCAGCCCGCCTTCACCTTCCTTCCCCCCGTGCTGCCCCTGCTCTGGCTGGGGGGATGCTCTCCAGACAAGCAGGACATCCCGAGCTGCTCCATCCCCATCCTCCACATCCCCCGGAGCTGGAGGGGCTCCCATTGCCTGGGAACCCGTCCTGGCAGAGCTCAGCACTGGCTTCATGCAGCCCTGGGCTCATGCAGCCCTGGCTTTGTCCAGCCCTGGCACTGGCACAGACATTTCTCCACCTTCTCTGGGTTGATTTCTGTCATTTTCAAGCACTAAGGGGGACTTTCACCCCCTCCCCTGGAAATCCCCTTCTTTGTGCACTTTGGGGGGACCTGGCCCTGCTGAGGCTGCAGTGGGGGCGGCCCCTGAGCTCCCCTGACACCCCGACCTCAGCCCTGTGCCACCCTGGCTCCTGCTGGGACCAAGCTGCTCCTGCTGGTGGCACTGGGGCAGCGGGGCAGGGACAGTGACAGATCCTCTGCCCCCGCAGGACCAGCTCTCGGCTGACATGTACAATTTTGTGGCCAAAGAAGTCGACTATGCAAACTATTTTCAAACGGTAAGTGCCACCCCCCGGGGCTGTCCCTGTCCCAGCAGTGTGTGACCCGGCTGTGTCCCCGCAGCTGATCGAGGTGCAGGCCGAGTACCACCGCAAGTCCCTGGCGCTGCTGCAGAACTTCCTGCCACAGATCAAAGCCCAGCAGGGTGAGTGCCCGCGGGTCTGTCCCTGCCTGTGCCACCGAGGGCCTGCGACAGACTGTGACCCCGCAGGGACAGCTGAGCACCCTCCCTTTGCTTGTCCTGCCTGCATCCCGCCTGTCCCGCTGCTGGGAGGGGATGCCATGCCATGCCATGCCATGCCACGCCACCCCCCATCCCATCCCGTGATGGCTGGCAAAGGCCAGAGCTGCAGGGTCCTGTTCTAACAACACCTGTACCGAGTATTTTACTGCCAGAACTGTGACCCAAGGACCTTTTGGGGAGGGGCTGCTGGATCTGGCACCACCCTCCCTGTCCTCTGCCCCCTCTGCCGTCACAGAGGCGTGGATGGAGAAGCCCTCCTTTGGGAAGCCCCTGGAGGAGCACCTGGCTGTCAGCGGGCGGGAGATCGCCTTCCCCGTGGAGGCCTGCGTGACCATGCTGCTGGAGTGTGGCATGCAGGAGGAGGGATGGGGGATGCAGGAGGAGGTGGGTGGGTTCCTGCTGGATTTGGGGGATGCAGGAGGAGGTGGGTCCTGCTGGATTTGGGATGCAGGAGGAGTGGGTCCCATGACTCTTGCTGGCCCAATGGAAGGGATCACAGGTGTCTGCAGGGCCAGGGTGAGGAGCTGGGGGGCTCCAGGGACGTGCCCAGCCCCCAGCCCTGTCCGTGTCCTCTGCCCAGGGTCTGTTCCGAGTGGCTCCCTCGGCCTCCAAGCTGAAGAAGCTCAAGGCTGCCCTGGACTGCTGTGTGGTGGACGTGCAGGAGTACTCAGCTGACCCCCACGCCATCGCAGGTGGGGCTCCTGGGGGCGGGGTGGCCCCTCCAGGCACCCCCCAAGGCACCCTGAGGGGGATCAGTGGCACCAAGTCCAGCTGGAGACCAGGAGCCAGTGGTGCAGGCCAGCGGTTGATGCTGGCTCTGGTTTTGTTCAGTTAATTTTGTCGTTGATTAATGGCCTGGCTAACGGAGGAGGTGTCCCCTCCGTGAGCGGGCAGGTGACACACACTGGGGACAGTGGCACCAGGGAGGTGCTGCCATGCTGGGGGCAGGTGCTCGGAGGGGCTGCAGGGTGGCACGGGGGGTCGGGGGTGCCACAGGCTGCTCCAAGTCAGGGACACTCAGGGGGTGTGGGGGGAAGGCTGGGGCGGTGTGGGTCCAAGTGCCCAGGAGCAAAACTGCTTGGTGCCCAGCAGCCGGTGCCACCTGCAGTGCCAATCCCTGTGTCCCCTGTGTGCCACAGGAGCCCTCAAGTCCTACCTGCGGGAGCTGCCCGAGCCCCTGATGACGTTTGAGCTGTACGAGGAGTGGATCCAGGCCTCCAAGTGAGTCTGGGCCGTCCCCCCATTCCTCCTGGCACGGGCAGGGACAGCCTGGGTCCCCATGGGTGCTGTGGGTTTTTTCTGGCACGGTTCACAGAATTTGGGATCTTTCCTCTGGGCTCTGAGAGGAAATCCAGAGAGATTCCTTCTCCTTGGGATGGGTTTTGGGACTTCATTTACTTCCATAATGTTGGTGGCAGCCTGGGGGTCTCACAGAGTCCCCAGGATTGGGGCTGGAGGGGTCCACAGCCCCAGGGCAGGGTGGGGATGGGGGATAAACCCCTGTCCCCCCTGCCTGCAGCATCCCGGAGCAGGAGAAACGGCTGCAGGCTCTCTGGAACGCCTGCGAGAAGCTGCCCAAAGCCAACTACAACAACATCAGGTGAGCCTGGGGCCAGCAGGACACGGAGAGGGGACACAGAGGGTGCGGCCCATGCACTGACCCCTTTGGGATTCCAGGTACGTGATCAAATTCCTGGCCAAGCTGACCGAGTACCAGGATATGAACAAAATGACCCCGAGCAACGTGGCCATCGTGCTGGGACCCAACCTGCTGTGGCCACAGGCCGAGGGGTGAGCCTGGGTGAGGGCTGAGGGGCAGATCCTGCGGGAATCCTGCAGGGAATCCTGCTGGGAATCCCGCTGGGAATCCTGCTGGGTGAGGGCTGAGGGGCAGATCCCGCTGGGAACCCTGCTGGGAATCCTGCTGGGAATCCCTCTGGGAATCCTGCTGAGTGAGGGCTGAGGGGCAGATCCTGCGGGAATCCTGCAGGGAATCCTGCTGGGGCCCTGCTGGCTGGGGGGGTGCTGATCTGTCCCCCCCGCAGGAACATGACGGAGATGATGACGACGCTGTCGCTGCAGATCGTGGGCATCATTGAGCCGCTCATCCAGCACGCAGACTGGTTCTTCCCGGGAGGTAGGGCGTGCCCACAGCCCGGGGACAGCTGGGCCTCCTGCCACCTCCCGGGAGGAGGCTCAGAGCTCCCAGGCTTGGTTCTGCCAGCCCCTGTGCTTGCTGGAGCTTGGACAGGGCTCCAGACAGACTCAGCACGGTGCTGAGCCCAGCCCAGATTCACCAGCACCCCCTGAGCCCATCCCTGCAGTGCCGCTCCCCTGAGCCCATCCCTGCAGTGCCAGCCCCCCTGAACCCATCCCTGCAGTGCCAGCACCCCTGAGCCCATCCCTGCAGTGCCAGCCCCCCTGAACCCATCCCTGCAGTGCCAGCACCCCTGAGCCCATCCCTGCAGTGCCAGCCCCCCTGAACCCATCCCTGCAGTGCCAGCACCCCTGAGCCCATCCCTGCAGTGCCAGCCCCCCTGAACCCATCCCTGCAGTGCCAGCACCCCTGAGCCCATCCCTGCAGTGCCAGCCCCCCTGAACCCATCCCTGCAGTGCCAGCACCCCTGAGCCCATCCCTGCAGTGCCAGCACCCCTGAGCCCATCCCTGCAGTGCCAGCAACCCTGAGCCCATCCCTGCAGTGCCAATGCCTCCTGAGCCCATCCCTGCAGTGCCAGCACCCCTGAACCCATCCCTGCAGTGCCAGCACCCCCTGAGCCCATCCCTGCAGTGCCAGCACCCCCCGAGCCCATCCCTGCAGTGCCGCACCCCTGAGCCCATCCCTGCAGTGCCAGCACCCCCAGCCCCCCTCCCAACACCTGTGCCCCCCCAGACATCGAGTTCAACGTGACGGGGAACTACGGCAGCCCCCTGCACGTGAACCACAACGCCAACTACAGCTCCATGCCGTCCCCGGACATGGAGCACGGCGAGCGCCGGCAGCACGAGCAGGCGCGGCGGCCCCTCAGCGTGGCCACCGACAACATGATGCTGGAGTTCTGCAAGAAGGACGGGTAGGGACCCTGCCGGGCTTTGGCACCGTCCCGGGCAGCAGGAGAGGCTGCTCAGCTCACCTCGGGGCGGGGGGCACTGAGCTGGGGGAGGGTGGGAGGTCCCAGGGTGCAGGGACTGTCCCCCTGTCCCCGTGGCTCTGCCCGCCCCCCGTGCCCCCCGCCCTGCAGGACTCGGCCCCCCGAGGTAACCGCGGGCCCGGGGGGACTGGGGGTGGCACCGCCCGGGGGGACCCTGGCCCGGGGGGGGCACAAGAGCCGGGTGAGGGACCCCGGGGGGCGGGAGGGGACAGCGGGCGCGGAGCGCTGGGTGCGGGAGGAGCTCACGGCTCTCCCTCTTCTTCTTCTTCTTCTTCTTCTTCTTCTTCTTCTTCTTCTTCTTCTTCTTCTTCTTCTTCTTCTTCTTCTTCTTCTTCTTCTTCCACTGTTTGTTTTCAACTTTCTTTTTTATTGTTATGGCTTATCTTCTACGTTTTCCTTTAATTTGATTTTCCGTTTTATTTTTAATAATATTTTTCACGATTTTTGAGTTTCCTTTAATTTGTTAATTTTTCGTTTAACTTTATCATTTAATTCCCTTGTATTTTTTGGTTTTAATTTTATTTCAAATTCTTTGAATGTTTAAACTTTGTTTTTCGTTGTCTTAATTCTATTTTTCATTAACTTTAATTTAATTTCATTTCAAATTTTACTATTTTTTAAATTCTTTGCCTTTATAATGCTTGAAACCTTTCCTTTCCTTTCCTTTCCTTTCCTTTCCTTTCCTTTCCTTTCCTTCCCTTCCCTTCCCTTCCCTTCCCTTCCCATCCCATTCCTTTTCTTTTCCCTTTTTCCTTATTTTGTGAGGTTTTTTCCTTCTTCTTCATTTCTCTTCCATTTCTTTCCTTCCCTCTCTGTTCCCCTGTTCTTTCCCCTCCCCGTTCTCTCTCTCCCGTGCCCGTTCCGTGCCCCGTGCCCCCTCCCCAGCACTTTCAAGCCCCCGGAGCTGTCCCCGGGGCCGCCCCCCGCCCCCGCGGCCGAGCAGAGCCCGCACTCGCTGCGCAAAGGTAGGAGCGGGGCGCGGGGGGCTGGGGGTCCCCGCGGGGGGCTGGGGGTCCCCGCGGGGGCCCGGCCCTGACCCCGCGTCCCCGTCTCTGTCCCGCAGGGGCCAAGAAGCTGGCGCCCATCCCGTCCCCGGCCAGCCTGTCCCCCACGCCCCCCAGCACCCCGTCCCCGTACGGCGCCCCCGGGGCTCCCCCCGGGGCTCCCCCCGCGGCCGGGCCGCCCNGCCTGGACACCGCGGGCCCCGGCGACGGCGCGCTCGCAGGTAACCCGGCCGGGGGGCTCCCGGGGGGCGGCGGGGTCCGCCAGGACGGGGACAGTGGCCCCGAGGAGGCAGGAGTGTGCCCGTGAAGGTGGGGATGTCCCCAGGGAGGGGGCACCCTCCCCGCACAGCTGGGGATGTCCCTTGGGAGGCAAAACTCTGCCCAGGAAGGTGGGGATGTCCGCAGGAGGGTGACAATGGCCCTGGAAAGGCAGAATGTCCCCAGGATGCTGGTGATGTCGCCAGGAAGGTGACAATAGCCATGTACTCAAGAAGGTGGTGATGCCCCTGGGAAAGTGGAGCTGTCCCCAGGACGCTGGTGATGAGCCCAGGGAGGTGACAGAGCATCGGGAAGGTGGCCATGTCCCCTGGGAGGCGGCAGTGTCACCAGGAATGTGCCATCCCCCGGAGCTGTGCTGCTGTCCCTGGGCTCTGTTGGTGCCGTGTCCCCCGGGCCCCTGCGCTGCTGCAGGGGGACAGCCAGGGCGGTGCTTGAGAAGCGCAGGTGACATTGGGGACCACGGAGGGCACAGGGGCTGGGGGTGTCCCTGTGTCCCTTCCGCAGGGTCTGCAGGACTCAGGGCTCTGTCCCTGCGTGCCTGTCCTGCCTGTCAGGGGTGGGACAGCCCGAGAGGCACCGAGGGGCTGGTCACGGTGTCCCCAGGGGCTGTGGCACTGGCACCGGTGTGGTGCCACCCTGGCATGGATGCAGCCCTGACATCACCCCTGGCTCAGGTGCAGCTCCCCTGTGCCACTGTGGGACAAGATCCCTGAGCCACATGGTGAGCAACAGCCCTGAGAAATGTCCCTGGGCAACGTCCCTGAAAAAATAACCCTGAGAAATACCCCTGAAAAATATCCCTGGGCAACATCTGTGGGCAATATCCCTGAAAAATATCCCTGGGCAATGTCCCTGGGCAACACCCCTGAGCTGGCAGGAGAGGCAGAGGTGCTTCTCTCGGAGGGGTTTGCTCTGCTCTCAGCAAGGGACGCGGTAACACCGCCTGCCGGTGGCTGTGGTCACCCTGTCCCTTCACACGTGCAGCCTCACCCTGCGGGTCCTCTGGGAGAGGGGACAGCGGTGTCACCTGCGCTCGGTGGCACGGGGCTCCGCGGGGCGCGGGCAGCGTGTGGGGACAGCTGGTGTCACCGCCCCGGCTCGGGTGGGGTGCACAGGGCAGAGGGCGGCGGTGACAGCCCTGGTGGTGGCAGTGGCACGGTGCCAGCCCGGCGGGTGTCCCCATGGCTGTGCCCTCCCGCAGGTCTGCTCCGTTTTGAGGTCCCCTCCCTCCACGTGTCCCCGGAGTCCGCCCTGTGCCGGGACCCGCCCGAGGCAGCTCAGAGACTCTCGGGGCCGAGCCTGACCCCGCGGCAGGAGGAGGAGGAGGAGGAGGAGGAGGAATCGGAGAGCACAGCCCTATGACAGTGTCCCTGTCCCCCGGCTCACCCGCGCGGCGCCCAGGGGCCAGCACCGGCCACCGAGGGCCACGGGCCACCTCGGGTGGCAAAGCGCCCGGTTTGGGGGCGGCCGCTCTTCTTTAGTTCATTTTTGTTCGCCTTATCCAGACTTTGCCTTCGAACCGGGTGCCTGCCCCCCGCCCCGCAGCACCCACGGCCCTGGGGCGATGCCACCACGTCCTCCGTGCCCCGAGGCGGGTGCCACGGGCTGCTGGCCAGGTGACAAGGAGCTCGCCGGCGCTTTGCAGTGGGATTTCCTTTCTTCGGCTTCTTCCCCCTCCGCTTGTTTGGGAGCAGGATGGGACCTGACCAGCAATAACCTGGGGATGCAGGACGTGCCCCCCGGCTCTCGGGGTGCTGGCGGGGGAGGCGCACGTCCCTCGGCACCCGTTTCCCCGGGGGTTGGTGGCTTTGGTCGTGCATGCACAGACAAATTAACCTTTTATCCTTTCCAGAGAGAGCAGATCTGTATATATATATCGGCAGAGATATATATATATATATTCTATATTTGTATATAGAGAGAGAAACTATAGAGAGATTTGTTTTACGTGGAGCCATTCCCGCCCGGCCGGGGCGAGAGGGAGGATGGAAACGGCAGCGCTTCGCCCCCGCCCCGCTCGCGCCGTGCCCCCCGCCCCAGGTGGGCACCGGGGGGCACCAGCACCCCAAAGCAATCAATAAATCCAATAAATCCGTGTGCCACTCGCTGAGAACTGCCCGGCGGCGCTGGCCTTTCCTTCCTGCCCCGCCTTGGGGGGAGGACTGGGAGGTGGAGAGCGTTTGGGCGATAAAATGGTGGTTTGGTGTTTTATAGGGAATGTTATGGGTCTGGTGCCATGGGATGGGGTAGGGTCCACCTCCTCCAGAAACAGCCACCCCGCATGGCAGGATCCAGCCAGGACTGACCCCTGATCCCGGGATGATCCCCCCTGCAGGAGCAGGACCACCCCCAAGGGGTTCAGAGCCCTTTTCCCCTGGGATGGACACTGGGTTTGTTTCACGTGTCTTTAATAGAAACCGCCGGCGGTGGGGCAGAGCCCCGTACAAAAGCTGGCTGCAGGAATCGGGGATTGCATAGACTGAGGTGTGGGGGACCCCCACCCCCAAATAGTCGCCTTTTAGAAAACAAAAAGCGTCTCTGAATAAAACTCTCCTGGTACAATAAATACTCCGGTGCCGCAGAGCTGGGGACCGTGCACCCGCCTGCCCTGTTTGGGACGGCCCCGCGCGGGGAGACTCCCGGTTCAGAGCCACCACTTTGGGATGAGCCCAGGTCTGAAACCCCCCGCTAGGGATGGCCCTGGTTTGGAATGCTTCTGGATCGGGATCTGGCGTGCCCTGGGTCAGGCAGGAGCCCCCATGTCAGGATTGCATTTGGGAGCCCTGGCTCAGGAGAGCCTGGTTTGGTTTCCCCCGGCTCAGAGGTCCCTGGGTTGGGAGCCCCCAGGTCGGGATGCCCCCGGTCGGGAGATTCCTGGTTTGGGATCCCTGGTTCAGGCACCCTTGCGGTGGGACACCCCACCTTGGGGAGCTCCCCGATGCGTTCAGGACCAGCTGTACAGCTGCTGGGGGTGGTGATGCCCCCATCCATGGCTCAGAAGCTCGATTCGGGCACGGCCGCGGGGCGCAGGGGCCCGGGGGGCTGCCGGCCCCGCTGCAGGGTGGCCCCGGGGGGACAGCGGGCGGCCAGGGGCG